CAGTCATCATTTATGTACACCAACCCTCATGGTCTCCAGTTTTAAGTGCTGACTTCCTCCAGTGTCTCCTCCAATCTCATGTGTACTTCCACTGGACCTGACCAGTTCATTCTCTCTACATTTGTCTCCACGAAGTATAAAATCATAAAGTCCCTGGAGTTGAGGGCAAATGATCAGGATTCTATTCTTATCTGTAGCAGTATAATTTGGGCAACTCATTCACTCTCCCTCAGTAAATTTTCTCTTCAATAAGGTTGGAAAAATTATTTTTCAAAAAAATCCTCTTCATTATATGACTATGAGAACTAAATACAAGTATCTATACAGAATGCCCATCTAAGTGCTTAATAAATGTAAAAATCATCATAAATTTGTTTGCATCTAATACCCCCACTTTCAGTGTATCCCTCTCCTTACTATATATATTTAAGTCTTAACTCACCTCAATACCCTTGTAAATGCCTACATGAGCCATTAATTAGGTGGGTTGGTAGTCCCCACAAAATCTATTTTTATTTTCTAGTGGATACTTAACATAGTGGGCTTTTGATCATGCAATCATTCTCTAGATACCTGCTAGGTGCCTACTATGGGTCTGCAAAGAGTTTCATTATATTTTTCGGCTTTTAAGATAGCAGATTATGAAGTGAATAGCCAGTTTCTGTAATCAGAGTGTAAGACTCAATGTGACAGAAATCATATCTTATAGTTTTTGTGTAACTATAGAGACTGAAGTCTAGATGCTGGGGTATAGATTTGTTGATAAGATGCAGCTGCTGGAAGTGTTTTCTGTCTGGAAAATTTTGTATGTGTATACAACAGGACTTCAAGATATGACTACTCTGCTATCATCAGGAAATTCACAAATGCTCCCAGAACCCTGACTATATTTACAGAAAACCTCTAGTGACTCTAGTGCAACTATTTTTCCATATGTCTTCTTCTTCTTACTTCACTGATGCTATTATGGATATAGTATGAAGCCACAGGGGTGGTCATCTAGGTAGCTCGTGGCATTAATTCTGTAATAACATAATGAATAAGTTCACATTCTATACTAATATTATTTTTTTTTGGTGTGGCCTTTTCATTCTTTGGGGAAAAAAGTGAAATGGAGGAAAGCCAGGCTTAAATTTAATGTATGTACCCCTTCAACGAGTCACATATATAATGAGTACAGAAAATCCTGCTAGAACTATCAAATTGCAGGAAGATTCTATTATCCACTAATAGTACTGAATTGAAATTTAAAAATATCTTAACAAAAATGACAGTCCTTCAATCTCTGTTTCTTCTGAGACAATGAAGGGCTTAAAGAGTTAGGATTCCCATTTAATCCTTGAAATATTTTTGAGAATTTTGCTCACTGTTTTTGAGATAGTTCTCTTTAAGAAAATTGAATTCTTTAAGAATTTTTTTATTAGACTTACTAGTTTAGGCTCCAGTCATGCTAACTATTTCTCCTCTACAAGCCTCAAACTTTATAAAACCTAGTTTGTAGGATTTAATGTAAAAATGTACATGGGACAAGGGGAAAATATCCAGTATAATGAATAATTGTAGTTAATGCTATTTTAAGTAAGAGATGATATCAGCTGAGAAGTATGTCCTGAGAAAAATTATTTCCATCATGAAAGGGAAAATGTATTATATATTATATCTAAGTATGTTCAGAAAATGCTAGAAATCAATTAAACACACACACACACACACACACACACACACTGTCCTCACACATTTGTCATTATGACTTAAATAGTTTGAACTTCATGTAAAACTAGTTTCTATGAAAATCTAAACCTTCTGAAGTCACTTATCTCTAAGTACTTGAACTGCCTTTCATTGAGAAAAGCATTATGTTGGGAAATAAATCATGGCCAATGTTTACCTAACAGTGTCATAATTATGTATGCATCTAAGTTAGAGAAGCACTTTATATACCAATAATATGTTAGTAAAGAAGAAAAATTAAAATTATAAAAGAATATTTTACCTCCCCCAAACTTTTAGCTGACTTTTATGTCCTCAACTGACATTTTTGTTGAATTTCTCCAAAGTCATAGTGCCATTTAATATATGCATTTCTGTGTATTTGCCTTGAAGTAACACAAATTGGTATAAATTGAAAAGGTATATTCTAAACACAAAACTCACAAGAACCCATCTGAGAAATTCTCATCCCTGCCTCCTTCCATCAAATAAATGAAAATATTTCAAATCAATATGTCTAAAGTAATATGGTTCCCATTAACTATCACATGTCAATTGCCTTGATGAGTGAACACTTAAAATTTTCAGAGAATCCAAAGGACACCCTCCAACCAAAGACAAAGCAATGAAAAAAGCAACAACAAAAATCCCAAGACACCTGGGCCTTGGATAGCATGTTGTGAATGCTCCATTCCTATCTTCAATTCTACTTTCAATTCCATGGCAATAGAATTTTAAAATCCAACATACAAGTCTCTGCAAAATGCTATTTTCTCTTCACTAAAACCGCAAAAATGATTCAGGTCCTGAAAAATGTGACTTGTTACTACTTGATAAAGAACATTTAATTTATCCTCTTTTCTTATTAAGAGGTATCAATTATCCCTGAATCACCTCCACCATTACCCTTGTCCCCTAATAACCAATCAGATAAAAGATGATCAGAAGTATGGTCAGAATAAGAGTTGACAGTTACCGATTGAACAATGATAGGCTAGACTCTTCAGAAAATACTTGAAAGACCATGACACGTAGCCTTCTGTCTCTTTTGTTTAGGGATGATTTGACTCATAGAAGGGTGGGTAAAGATGGAAATGCAAGAGCAAGGAACTAGGCCAAGACTGAGCCCTGGCATTTCTGCTGGAGCTATCACATCTTCAAGAGATTCTTTTCACTCTTCCTGAACTTATAAACATGTGGGATCTATTTTAAAATGGCCACTTAAAAAAAAAAAAAAGCAAACAAACAAAACATGCTGGCATTATTTTGGAAGTAAAAAGGGCTAATATTACAATGTTTGTTATTCAGATATTCAAAGTTTTAAAGGACAGATTATAACCTCTAGTGTTACTTGGAAACTTGCAGGAAATGTTAGAGAAGAATTGGCTGATAAAAGTTTCCAAACTCATGAAAACAGTCTATAGATCCAATATGAGCAGTTGAAATGTGGTTAGCCTACAGGGAAAAGTAAGTTTTCAAAGTTTTAATTTTATTTAAATTTAATTAATTGAAATTGAAACGTGAATAGCTACCATACTGAACAAAGCAGCTTTAGAGGTACTGAAGTTTAGCAAGACTCTTTATACAAAGGCTTAATATTCTCAAAAACTATTCTACAAACATGTTTATATATATTCATGACTGTGATTACAAAGAGTGTATATTATAGATAAATCTATCCACCAGGTGAAACTGTATCAAACAATCTATTTAATCTGTAGACTTTTTCATGTTTCCTTAAGGCCTTATAGAGAAAGAGAAAGAAAAAAAAATTAAAAGGAGGTAGTTTTTTTTTTTTTTTTCCAATCAGCACTTCCCTACATTATGGTATCTGAAAGCCATAGGAAAAACCAGAATGGAGAATAGAAAACATCAATAGCCATACAACAACAAAAACGAGCAGAAGTATTTGATGGAGTGGGAAGATGTGAAGGATTAAGAGATATAACCTTTAACTTCCACTACTGTTCAAAATACGAGGCACACATGTCAACAACCAGATAGAGTGGAAAAACTGATAAATTTTAAAATGTGTTTTGCCAGTAAAATAGAATGTAACCCCAGGACTCAATAATTCTGAAGCTTTAAGAGCCCTTAAACATTATCCACTTCAAACAGTCCGGCATATATTAAAGTATTTTGAAGCCCAGAGAAGTGAAGTGCTCAGTGTCCCTGACATAATAGCCAAGTGTGGTCCCAGGTCTCCAAGTTTGCACTCTCCAGTGTGACTTTCCCTCTGCCTCTGCTGAGCAGGGACTGATCCCTGAGTAGACAAAGAGCCTTATCTCTATCCCCACTTGTTCCAACCCCAGTGAACAGGAAAAAGAAAAAAAAAAAAAAAAAGAAAAAGAATATTTTAATCATGATACTCAGCTTGACACAAAAGCTCCCTTCACTAACATGGTATTCCTAAAGACCATGCAATATGCACAGCTTACCAAGCACAGTGTGGAAAAATGAATTAGAAAAGAGAATATTTTACATTGGACAGTTAAAGAGTTTAACATGACTCTTGTTATAGAAGTGGCTTGCTCTGTACTCAAAAGTTCTATGGGTCAAAGAGAGATAGCTCCAAGTTTCAAAGCAAATTAAAACTCATTATTATGCTTTTGATGACTCGGTGGGACAACAATAATCTACTAAGATGAAATCAAGTGATTATCTTAAGAAGAAAAAGCAAACTATCATCTTCATTTTAGAGATAAAACTTAGATATCACCGAGCTCGAAACTCTCATTTTGCAGGGGAAAAAAAAAAAAACTGAGATGGCAGATTTTAAATGACAAGTGCCAAGTCACACAACTGGTAGGTAGAATTGAAATTTAGAGGCAGGATTTCTGTCTCCAGGTTCAGGGGGTTTTATTACTCTGGAAACCACGATAAGATAGATGTCAACAAATCAGAAAAGGGGAAATAGGACCATTACTCTGTACATGTCATGGTTTCTTAAAAGTCTTTTACTTTCAATTTGAGTTACATTTGAACATAAAATTTCCCATGGATTTGTATGTAATTTCAAGGAGTATTGATAGAAAGAAGAGAATTATGTTTCAAGAGCTATGTAAAAGATCAGGAAGTAAATTCACTTTATTGCCTGAATTTTACAAACTTTTCTTGGATCGCAGATCATCTTCTACAGATAAATGCCACACTACTACTGATAAGAGCAAAAGATAAAGAACACTGCACATTTTAAATGTCATGTACTTTGAATTTAATACTGTGCTCTTATAAATGAACCCATAAGAGAAAAAAAGAAAATGCTAAATAAATACAGTGATGGGGCTTACATTCTGGTGCTGCTGGTCTTGTTGATAATGACAGATTTTCCTGTTTGATCCACATTATGATCCAATCCAAAGTAAGCTGCCACCCGATGGACAAGCATCCTCTGATACGATGACATCTGAGGGAACTTTTTATAATGATTACTGAAACAGAGTTACAAGAAAAAGCGAAATCAGCATTTTCATTTCTTGTCCACAGCACATTTTACAGGTAGACACACAAAACTCTTTCTCTTTCATCCAAACCACTAAGCCTTTTGCTTTCATTTCTGGCATTACTTAGTGTCCCCATTTCGAGGCAAGATTTCCACTTATTATAGACGTATTGATTAAGCTACAATATGTATTATTGTTTCATAGTTGCACATTTCTCCTGCCAAAGAGAACTTAATATCTGTTGGAAAGTGTTCTATTTTTGTCCATGATACCTTATCAACAGACCCAGGCAGAGGACAAATGATATGACATAATACGTGACTGCAGATGCCTATCTGGAGATGTGTCATTACCCAGTTTACACTGAAAGCAGCACAATTATTTCCAGGCATAACTGACTGCAGCCAGCTGGAGCCCATTAAAAAACTATAATAAAAATGAAAAGGGTCGCTTCGTGGAACAGCTATTCTATGCTAATCGGTGGCCCCCTGTTTAATAGCCATTTTGTCAGGAATTTAACAAGCAGGAGCACGCATGGCCCAAGCAACAATCCCCATCAGCATACGACTGACTCCCAACTCCAATAACATCTCCATTTAACAAATCAAGAAACATATTAAGCAATGTTTTATGCCTAAATCTGTCCAAAATGAGTAATTTAATCCAAATATCAAACTAAGACCCATCATCTCATCAGCCAGCACTGCCATTTAACATACTTGTTGTCACCAATGAAATCAATAATTTCCTGCTCCATTTTCAAGAGTATCATCCTGTCCCTGTAAAAAAAAAAAGAAAACAAAATGTTAGAATTAAAGTTTTTATGTAATTTCCATATCTCAAGGACATAAATAGTTAATTAAATGCATGGAGAAGATTATTTAAATGAATGTGGTTACAAAACTACATCTCACTTTTCTTTAGAACATGCTGACCATTCACTTACATATTATTTCATTTTGCTCCAGATAATTTTTTCTCATTTATTAAATGTTTATGTTGGCATTCAAGCCATGAGGACCATAAAATATAACAAATAAAAAATGTTTTAAATTCACAGGAAACCGAAATAAAGTAAAGCCCAGATATTGGATTTAGATAGGTCTAAAACTGGATTAAAACCTAATTGGTTTACTTAATATCAATAATTTTATTCTCTATTTTTCCCTCTTCATCAGTTATTTCTTTGTGACCAGGAAAATAAAGCTGATAAACTATCATTTATTCATTAAAGTAATGACCCAGGAGTTATAAATCTATCAATAATAAACATGCAAATTTGAAACAAGTAAAAAGAAATGCAGGAGATAGTTTAAGCCATCAGGAAAGGCATCTGCATTGTACAACTGTCTTAGAAATATCTGGATAAATAACTCTAACATTTTATTTGAAACTTCCAATAATAAAGAAGCTTGTTTAATAATTTACCTGGAATTATTCTTTAGAGTGTTAATCAGAAACTCATGTAAGTCTATGCCTGTAGAATCCGTGTATTCTTGGCTGCAGTCTGAAACAAACAGAAGGGTGGAGTTGTAAGAAATGGCGGGAAGATGGGATAGAAAATATTCACCCAGCCCGCCTCCTTTCCCTCCAGCTCAGGTACATTCTAGATGAAGCTATTGTTATGAAAAAATATGTTGCATAGCTAGCAACCTGGCAGTGTGACATCAAAATGAAAATAAGGCTTGGGGATTGAAAAGATCTTGACTGTGGAAAGACCCAAATATGGAAGGGGAAGTGGGCACAGTCTGGTGTTGGGAGGGGTAGAGCCAACTATCACATGTTCACCCTGTGTTGCAAATCAGCCAGGCACAGCCTCCACATCACAGAAAATCCCAACCTCCAGAGAAGGCTCTAGAGCTTGAGATCTTACAGAACCCTTTGTCTCTTAGAAAGAAGGAGGTGAAGAAAAAAATGAAAGTTCTGTTACAAGACCTCCTAAATATTAATCAGTACAAAACACAGGCGGGCACTAAACATTCCCAAGTCTTTCAGCTCTCCTGATGCTAGATAAAACTTACTTTCCATAACCACTTTAAGAAGATGAGCTTTTTGACTCTTGTGTACACCTCGAGTTTTAGGCATAGAGCAGCAGAGACAAGTGTTATAAGCCAAAATGTTGTTTGATATTAGGAGTGGTTATCATTCCTCAGCAGATCACATGCCCAATTCTTTCTCAGTTATCTTTAAAAAGTCTACTGAAAGGTTATTTATGCGTGGCATTCTTCATTTCAACTAAACTTAGGTTTATTTTGTACAGTGATATGTATGGCAATATTCAAAAGGCTGTAGCTTTAGAAGGAATTACTTTTTGGGGTATTTTTTTTTGGGGGGGGAGTGGGAAAGGTAGAATGTGTATTAAAGTAGCATGTGTATTTTTAAAAATGAAACATTGTGTGACAGTGTATGGGTGCAGAGACCAAAATCAGGTAAGATGTGAATCAGGTAATCCACGGACATACAGTTCTGTACTTGCTTGGGAGACTACCTCACTGACTGACAGAATCTGGTTGCCATTTGCCTTTTAAGATAAACATGAGGGTTAAGATAGAAAACTGGGTATCATTGCTGTTCACCACTCCAAGTTAACTGGTCTAATCAATCTGAATTTAAGAGCACATTTATATTTACTCCTTTGTACAGCTTGCAATTGAAAACAGGAGATTCACATGTGAATACAAAAAAATTATGTGATCCAAAAATATCCTAACTACACAGATGATAGACTATGAACAGAAATGAAATCAAGTTCACATCTTTTACACGCACACATACGTACACATATAAAATCATATGCAGAGCCTGTCAGGTGGTGAATATGCATGTGCTCTCTAGAACAACTTCTAGAACTACATATGTGCCCAAATTGAGGAAATTAAGGAAACATTTTCACATTCACCTTTTGATAACATTCTGATCTTGGGTTTTTCAGAGGTTTTATCTTTGTTTTTATCCTTTTCTTTTTCTCTCTCAGAGTCATCTTTCCTAGATTTATCCTCCTCTTGCAGGCTGGGAAAACTGGAAAGCTGTAAATGAATTGATTCCTGTTGGGGAGAAAATATAATAATTTAGGGCCAGATTTAATAATCTCTGTCTGGTTTCCATTTTGCATAGAGGTTATTAAGTACAGAAAAATGAAAGCCAGGAGCAGACTTTTTTTTTCTTAAATGGTAAAAATTAAACCTGTCAGAAAAATAATTGCCCTTTAAGGTGAATTGAACTTTAGAAGTCAAGGGGAGGTCATGAGAAACATCTAGTACTGAAACTTTGCCTCATGAATATTAACCTTAACTAAGCTAAATTCCTGTAGATCACAACTCTTATTTTTTCTACAGGCTTATTTTTAACTCCCTAGGAAAAATTCCTTCATCCATCAGCTTGCATCAGAGCCACTGTCATGTATTAAAAAAAAAAAAAAAGGTTTCCGTAGTTCTTTTGTAACTCCTTATAAGGAGAAATTGGCACAAACATAGACAGACAGATTTTACGAATTGTTATTACAGATAGAACAGACATAAAGAAAGCCCTCAATAGCCAATTTATAATAAACTCCTACTTTACAATTTACAATACTCCTACTTTTAAATTTATAATTTACTCCTACCATGATAAATCAAGCTTTATGACACCAGGAATCCCAGGTATGGATTATCATGATTGTTTATAAATGCCATCAATAAGTCATTATGATATATATTTACAAGAAGCATTGCCTTTTAGAAAATGTAGCCAGTAGAATTACATTTTTTCATAAATTGTATATAAATACTTAATTGTTTTTTTTTTCATTTTAGTATCAACTAATCCTTTCCAAAATATAAATAGATTCTCTCGAACCCTCTCTTGCTTCATATAAAATTGACCCTTTACAGCTTGGGAGCTGGATCTTCTCTCTAGTATTTATTTTGTGCTGAAAAACAGGTCATTTTGCATTAATTCCCAAACACTAGTGGTTTGTCTGATAGTATGTTCATTGTTTTGAAGAAGAATGAGCCATATCATGTTTATTAGTTTTTTTTAGAAAAAAGTTGTCATAATTAAAATTATGACAAAGCAGCCAATACGAAGCCCATTTGTTCTTATGTAAGAGATCACATGGTGGGAAGCTTTCTTCCCAGGAGTGACATTAAAATTTATGATGTAGGGGGAAAATGTATTCCCAGTGACTAATAGTGTCTCTCATGGAAAAGCAAGCTAATGCTCACTTTACATGTGACTAAATCGATGCCGGCACCTCCTCAAACTGTGACCAATCTGGTATTCATAATGGTTCTTGGCAAATCTGGCTAACCTAACAGGCATAAAACAAAAGTCCTCTGAAGCCAAATCTCTTTTGTTGGGAGGGGTTCCATTGTGAACGCCTGGCTAGAACAAAGTCACCATGCTTGGAAAAACAAACAAACAAAAAACGTAGAGGAGGAAATAAAACATGCTCTCCTGATAAATATTTATCTCATCTGTTTTTTTTTTCTTTGATTGCCACATGTTTATCCTGGGGAATTGGATGTACATAAAATATGTAAAATGAAATGTAATTTGATTATAGTGCCTTTCACAACAACATTTTGGGAAAAAATGTCTTAATTGACAAAGGTTCAAGCACACTACAGGGTAATGATTTGCTTCTACTTGTTCAGGCAAACACTGGGACACTTCTGGCTAAGGCATGACTGCGGGCTGTGACGGGGAAGAATCGATTTGCCAGTTGATTAAGGGGGGGAAACTGTGGATTGGGCACCCTGATCATGAAAATGGTCTCATTACTTCTTCAAAACCAACTGAAACATTTAGCCTCTGTAAGCTTGAATCTACAATCAAAGAGGCATGGGAATACAATTTAAATGCAAGAGCAGAGGCACAGAAAAACTTTCACTACAAAAAAAAAATATGTTCAAACTGATACCATGTGTTGACAAATACTACACTCAGAAAAAAAACTACTTTTCTATACATAAATACGCATTATGGTGTTGAAAGAACACACAAAAGTGCTTTAGAGTTGGTAAAAAACAATCTGTTATTTTTTAATATTTTTATTGATATACTCAATAATAAAATACAAGTGTTAATAAATACATTGGTACAGGATAAGTTTATATCCAACAACAGTAAAAGAATGATTCAAGTTGCAGTAATACACTGATAGGTAAATAGTATAACATTAGAAAAGCAAACTTCCTTTAACTTAAGGACAGACTGAACCATCAGGTATGGGTCTGAGATCAAGTAATACAGGTAGCGAGAGAGTCTTTTCCACACAGGAAAATGAAGGCAGTTTTCCAAATACTGTGAATATACAAACATTGGGGAAGCGATACAATCCATATACTGTATACTTCTGCCACTGTTCTCTGGGTTCAGTCCACACATTTTGCTAGTGCCGGTGAGATCTAATGAAGGCATTGCATATAAACTCAAAGATCTGCTTCTTTAGTCTCTAAAAAGGTAGCAGGGCCACTTGCTTATGTGTGTGTCTGGGTATTTTCTATCAGCCCCCTGTTCCCACCACTCCCAGCTAGTTAAAGAAAAGCTTGCAGGCTCTAATTCTCTCCTACAAGCTACTCTTTGTTTTCTGAGCTTGGAACCAGCAGGAACAAAGCACTGTTTGCATCTGATTTCTCTGCACCAATCATACGGAGAAACTAGATTTAGGTCCAGGTTGGACACTATGATACAGATGATGTCTTTAAAAAAATGTCTTCCTGTGCTTTGTCCAATGGGACTAAAAGCAGATTGAGTCTATAGAGGCTGTCCTCCTCTGCCTGGCACTAGGAGTGGGAGACAACTGGAGCATTACTTCTGCTAGGGTCTGTCATTCCGCAGAGTTAACACATGTCATGTGCAGTACATTATAAGCCATCAATCAACATTTAATAATACAAGCCATGATATTCACATTATTCCCCCCTTTCAAATCTCCATTAAAAATAGAAGCACAAATAAAATGCTGAAGAAAAGCCACACATTTCTCAGAGCCCAAGTTAAATAAAGCAGATGTAGGAAACATAGTAATGGCCACTGAATGATAGCCTGTTCATGCCTTGTGACATGAGTGGCAGGTTAAGAAAATGAGGCTAGAAAAAAAAAATACTCTTAGGACAAAAGTCTATAAGGAATTTATTTTTGGTCCTTTTAAAGAAAGTGCTCTCAATGCTCTCTATGACCATGAAGAGAATTTAGAGTATTTCAATTAAAATGAAGAGAGAAAAACAAAACAAAACCAAACAAAAATAATGACATCTTAATCAATTTTCCCTCCCCTGGGCTCAGATAAATCATTTTAACTTTTGTCCTGACTGCTCTCAGCCTCTTAAAAAATAAGCAAAATTTCAGCAGCAAGACTATTTTTATAAAAGCTAATGTGCTGCCTAAAGGCAAACAAAAATAAATATGATGTGAACTTTTTCATTTTGTCATACAAGAGTTTTGTTGAAATTTAAATTTTTGGAGCCAAATAAGCTTGCCGTAAGGAGCAAAACTAAAGGTAAGGAGATGCAGCGAAATGTTAATAATGTTAACTTAAATTCACCATCAGCTCAGATTCGTTTCTGGATAATTTTTGCAGTATTGAGCAATCTCCACCAAAGCCCGTAAAGTATGTCTTCAAAGTTCAATGCACCTTAGTCATTGTTTCACAAGTGTCATACGAGCCAACGGTTGTGTTTCTTATAGGCAAGTGCTTTTTGGGGAGATGAGAGGTAAGACATCTCCAACAAGGAAGGAGACAGGGTACTTAGGGCTATATTTGGTTCAGCCTTATCAAGAGAGAGCCTTGGAGGAAATTCAGCACTACTGTGCTTACTTTTTTTTTTAAGTTTTAATCTAAATTCTTTTGAATTCCTTTCCATTTGCAGTTTTCAGAGAGTCTGGAAAAAAACAAACGTAATACTCTGTGATAAGCTTTTAAACTATTTTAAAATGTCTCATAAACAGGTGTTGAAGCAAGAAAAGTATTTCTTTCTTCAGGTGTACTCTTCTCCCCCAAAACACTGTTTAATGCCAAATTCATCATCATGCACACAGAGACAGGTCTAGCTCATGCAATTCAAGATAGTGACAGGGATTATACCTGATCCTGAAGGCTTTCAGCTCCTGGTCTGGCTGTTGACTCCTCACAGACGGCTAGACTTCGAGTCAGTTTACCTTTTCCTGCTCCTGACTGGGGGATGGGGAGAGCGGGAAGAAAGGGAGAGAAGGAGAAATAAAGAAAACAAACAGAAAGCATGCTCAGGCTGTCAAATCATCTCTAGGTCCACATGACATTTCCAAAATTTTAAAAAGCAAGTTCTAAGTCTGTTGCTCAATACTGTCTACACCTGGGCAAAGCATCAGACCTCTCTGTTGATGGGGATGGAGATAGAGGAGAAGATGAGTGGATGTATGCAAGGAACAATTTTAGCCAACTGGGCCCATTACTTTGGAAACACATGAAGAAAGAATTGCTGCTATGTCATACAAATATTAAGAGAAAAATAGCTGACAAAATCAACTTCCACTAAAATTATGCTCAGAGGGATTTGACTGAGAAGATGATTAAATGATAAAGTGTACTAAATAGCAGTACCTATTTATTTTAAGGCAGAAATCAGTTGGTGAGACTAAATCATCTACCCCAAATTTTATTTAAGATAAAAATAAAACAAAAGACTATGTGTTTTATAAAGCACCATGAAATCTCCAAGTGTGAAAATGGATCAAATGTATATATCTGCAGTTATCCAAACTCTAAATGCTGGAACTGGAAAAAAAAAAAAAAAAGCATACAGAGCAGGAAAGAAAGAGACCTGTGAACATGATCCCATTAAAAGCAGACAGCACCGACCCTTCTGCGACCCACCACATCTGCACACAACTGCCTTGAGTTGTTGGCAAATCCTTTATCCCCAATGTGAAATATACAACATCCACGCTACGGCTCTACCGAGAATCTCAAGAACCCTACCTTGGATTTTCTTCTCTCTTGATTCTGAGCTGCCAGCCGCCTCTGTGTGTTAGAAACAAAATGAAATAAAAAAGAAAAAGAACAGTGAACAGACAAGCAAGAGAGAGAGAGAGAAAGAGAATGAGAAAGTGGAAAAGAAAAGGCATCACTACCAAATAGTAGAGAAATTAACAATACCGACCAGGCATTCCAATTACCAGGGAGAACCCCTGCCCTAGCTCCCAGCTTCCCCCAAAGTGTTAACTTTCAGCTATCTCTCTTTTCAGAAAAAAAAAAAAATACAAGAGAGGAGAAAAGCTAGCCTTGATGTTTTTTGACCATTTTGTGATCTCAGTCTTTACCAACTACTGGTACATAAAGAGTTAACACTTTCAAAGTTTAGTTCAAAGGAAATTGATACTTACACACCATTTCTAAGTACCCTTTGTATTCCCTCTACCAAATCTCTTTCCCCTATAAATCTTAGTGTATTTAATTATAACACTTGTCCACTTCCTTCACTCACTGCCAGTCTTATACTTCCCCTATAGTGTTCTGACTCTGTTTGATAATAAGATTTAAACCTTAACATGCCCATGAAAGGTCACCAGAGCTATGTCTTTGACTTTTCTCAGTCAGCTGTGCATCAAATCTTCATCTTTCCATAGAATTGCAAGCCCATTTTTAAAACTCAGAGAGCCCAAAGGTGCCTCTGGAGAGGCCCTGCAGGTATCGCTCAAAGTGGTCTAGCAACTGGTCCTGGGATGATGTGTGCAAATTCGATAATTAAATATGTTCCTTAGATATTTTTCGTTTCAAAAGGCATTTTAGAGTATAGTTCAATCAAGAAAAAAAAAATTATTCATAATTGGGAAAGGAGAGGATTAGCATTAAATATTTCCTAACCATTTAACTTGTCAAACTCTTTTTAAAAAAGAAGAAACACATCTTCAAAGTATTTTAGAAAAGAAGGAAGAGAAAAAAGCACACAGTGGTATGAGAATCGGGGGTCTATCCAGGCTTACCTGCAATTCCAATTTCTCTTCTTCATCCAGACTTTCTGATTTCACTATGCCATTCTCTGGAGCGGCTGTCTCCTGCTCAGTCCTCCCTTCCTCCACTATGGCCTGGTTCAGGTCTCCTTGCTCAGACATTCTCCCAGATGCAAATTAAAATAATAAGGTTTGATGCCCTAGGAGGTTAAGATATCAGAAAACATCATCAGTGCAGCTAAAGTTTTGACTCTAATTGTTGACATATTTCTTTTCTCCCTTTGTATGCAAATTCATATGAACAACTCAGGCATCCCCATCAATTTTATATGAAAAAGAGGATAAAAAGAGATGAAATCAAGTACCCAATGCATACATAAGAGGCAGATGCGGTCACCCCATCCACACCCTTCTGCACACACGCAAGCACACTTGTGATATACCTTGCCATCAAAACAGATCCACTAAGCTTAGATGAAGACACATTAACTCCCACACAACTCCCAGTGCCCATGCCCTGCTACAAAGTGGAGGAAGAAAATGAGAATAGTTCTCTAACTCTTGAATAGCTGAACTTCAACTTCTGGGTCAAGAGGTGGGAATGATGTTCTGTAGCATCTCTACAATGACTCCAAGATCATTTTCAAGTTTCAACCACAGACACAACTTACCTAGTACAAAGAATATAGTATATTCAACAAGGGGCAAAAATCAACTGAAGAGGTAATAATTCAGTATAAATATGGGATCCAATTTTGGCAATAAACCTTTTAGGGTCAATATTTCCAGCCTTCAAACTGACAGCTACATTATTAAAAGCATAAGCCCTCTCTCAGGCTCCTGTCAGTTGCTGGTGCTGCAAGATCCTGCAGAGGAAGTCTGGCAGGCAGCTCTAATGAAGCTATCTCGACTCAACTCAGCTACTCCAGGCTCACAAGAGTCTAGTATACAGACACTGGAAATGGCTTTTCAAAGTTAAAGCCTGTTATTATTTTTTTTTCCTCCCTACCTCCATAAAATCTCTGACACTTCCCCGTCTGATGTGCTGTCAGAGGAGGCTCATGAATAATTTAGCACTTACTTCCTCCTTATTTTTTTAAGCAATGAGAAAGGAAAAGAAAAGAAGGAAGGATGTAGGAAAAGAGGAAGGAAAAGTGAAGAGAGAGAAAGAGGCTATAACTGAAAAAGTTATTTTTTTCTCATAAAAATTCCCAAGTAACGACTGTCCAGTGATAATTAGTATTGGATGTTTCTTGGAGAGTGTTTAATTACCATTTACTAATTCAATGATTTCATTTCCAACTGGAAATAGGAAGCATAAGAAAAATCTATACCACAGCAATTTCTATTGCAAATTTGCTAAAATCTATCATGACAGAACAGATGGGATGTAATGATCTTTAAAATACACAGGCTCATTTTGGCAAAGGATTGTGGGAATGTAAAAGGAATAGTTTTCCTAAAGGACAGTGTTTTGAAGTCTTTAAGTGACTAATGATCAATGCTTTCAAGTTTGGGAAGGTTTTAGGATCCGGTGCATTCTGACAGATTTCTCATATCCTACTGGCACTCAGTATGTGTGGTTAACAAATTAAAAGTTCTGTTTCCCACTAGCAAACAGCTTGTTTCTCAGTGTATTGAGTAGGGGGGAGGAGAAAGAACTTTGGTTGCCTTAACTCATTTATCAGAACATTTCAGTAAAAAAGCAGATCATGACCAGATGTAAAATGGAGTGAACAAACTGAGCTCTAGTTTTCCAAACTGCAAGCCAAACAAGCCTCTGATATGGATCCCCGTCTACCTTGGTTACAGTCAGTGAAATGTTCCACACGAACAGGCACATTGGTGTCATAATAGTAAAATACAGATGAGGTGACAGTCAGAGAGGACCTTTACCTTTCACGCAGAATTCCTGCTGTAGGTCTTGGTGACTTACTAGCGGCTTCTGTCGTTCTACACCGGGAAAATCCACACAAGTAATCAGAGGCAACTGGCGTCCCATGTCCCCATTAACAGTTCAGAATGCCCATCTCCATGCGGTTCCCTTACACAGTTTGACGCATCATCATTAACCTGAAAAAAGACGAAAAGTAAATAATAATAACTGCAATAATCATGGTAGGGTGAAGGACAAAATAAATAAGACTGGTTTTCTAACACTAATGACCAGCTTCCAGCAAATCACGTTCACAGCTTGATCCAGCTCCACCTGTCTCAAGCTGCCTGCTTCTTCTCTAATGAAGGCTACAGCCGGCTGTTCAAGTCAGAGCGGCACCCACGCAAGGAGCTAAAATTAACAATTGCATTATGCACTGAAGATTACTCACTTCAATTTTAACCTTTTTTAGTGAAATCTCGCACTTTGTGTTAAAAAAAAATAAAAAAAAACAAGCTTGTGTGTTTGCCTCAATGAGAACCCAAATCACCTATGAGCAACAGCCTTGCCTCCTTTTTTAACCCAAGTCTTTGTCTTAATTATAGATTAATATGATATACTTTAATTCTGTTTCTGTGACTCTTTGTGAAAGTTACCTTAGTGAAGCAAATTTAAAGTTTCTGATTTAATGAAGCGTTGTCTATAAAGTTTGTTGTTGTTTTTTTTAAAGTTAGGAAATAAAGAAAACTTTCCTAATGGGCATGGCTAAGAGAGCTCTTTTTACTCCACCTACAGTTTGAGAAGAATTCCTGATATCCCTGTTGCGTGGTGAAGAGTCTATCCACACCCCTCCCTCCCCATTAGGATTGCTCTACCAGCTGGGCATTCTGTTTGACAGTGAAGAAACACTGTCAGAAGGATTCAAAGATTTGCAAACTCCAAATCTGTTGAAAACAATACATGCTATAATGTGCACTTTCTTTTGCTCACAACTCCTACAGGAGCAACAGCAAAGACAGCTTGAATGCAAACATAGAAATGGGCTCCTAATAATGTTTGCCAAAACCAAGCCCTATCTCTTTCCTCTTGCTGTAAAACTACTTGTACACACCTGCTAACTGACAACAGCAGGCACACCTCTTCCAACTTATGCCCTTCTGTGAAAACCCTAACTGCCCCCCTTGCCATCCACCCTCTACCAGTTTAAATGAGCATGGCTGGTTCCTCACAGGACTTCACTGTGACTGTTCTAACAACACTCTGGGTTATGAAGCCAATTATTGTGCAAGAAGAAAACAACTGTTGAAAATACAATAAAGGCAATAATTTCTGGATTTATTTATGCTTTATCAAGATGGGTAATTTGTCTTTAAAACATGCATCTTTTGTTCTTGGATATCATATAGCTATTGAAAGATAAGCAAACATGCAGTTAGAACAAAATGGATTGCTAGTCAACAGTAATTTGAATGTTTCAATTTTGACCAGCTGAATACTATAACTGACACTCAATATTAAATAGAAGTCACCGTGTCTTAAAATCAGGATCTATTAACTAACACACCCATCACCTAATTTTTCTTAGAAGAAACATCAGCAATCAGTGGAATTACCAAATGCTTTTTGGATTCTGTTTTCCTTTTCCCAAGTCGAATGAAGTTATCAACAGTCATCGCCAACCCCTTTGCCTTCTCTTTCTGACTGTCATATTTGTACAGTGGCATTTAATCCAGCAGGTGAAGGGCAATGCAGTTTGAAATCTGAGCCTTAGATACATGATTCCAGCTTCAGTAGGAGGATGCAAGATATAATTCTCTCCACAAAGAAAGAACAAACTGATATTCACATAACTAACTCCAAGCGCTAACAGACTGGGTATATATGTGTGCGTAATTACCAGAACAGGGTTTTGAAATAGCACTGAGCTCTAAAGTCAGCGAGGTATTATTCTTGCATGCTTGAATCATAAAGTCATCATCTACCGAGATAAAAGAGAATATGGGCATATGGGAGTGAGCAGAGAGGAACATATGGATCACAAATATTTTTGTAACTGATTAAAATTGTTCTCTTTGCTAAGAAAGCAGTGCCAGGAAACCAGCCCTACTCCAGCATTCTGTTCCCCAAACTAGCCCCACCCTTCCACAGCCATTTAATCTCCATTTGTTCCACGTTCTCTCATTTGCACAAAGGACCCGAACTATATTTAATAAATATGTTTCTGCAACATTTTGTTAATAGATACTCTGACCAAATTTTAATTTTTAGAGTTGGAAGGATGGAAAGGGGAGGAGCTGATATACAAATAAATACACAAAATAAAAGTTAGTGTAGTTCTCATCAATATCAATGTAATTTTAACCATAATTTGGGGGTTATTATTTGATAGAGGCCAAAAACGGTCCATAGGAAATTGATCAAAAATGCTAGTTGCTATTTACAATGAAGACAATAATTCCATATTATATTTATGCTGTTTTTATTTCCTTAGCTTGCTTTAGATTTGAAGATCACAACAATTAGGATTGTGGGGATAAGATAAAGAGGGAAAGAGGAGGAAGACCCAGTACAAAGCACCAAATATTCTGTCTTTACCACCAACAAACTGTGTCCTACTTTCGTGCATGTATCATATGTTAATCAGTGTGCTGCCGCGTAGGCAAAGCAAGATCAGGATTTGATTCAAATTCCAGCAGGGATTTAGTTCTCAGGGTGTATCTAAACCGGAAATTTAGGCTGAATTCTATTTGCAAGTTGTGAGAGTCAATTCATTAGTTACTTTCTACACAGTACTTACATTAAAACTTAACCCAGAGATGACTAATCTCATCCCAGATCAGAATAGATACTTTATATCAAAACCACACAGTCAGATCTACTTATATGGACAATTGAAATGTTTCTCTTATAGTTATATTTTCATCTTTTTTTAGCAGGTCACAGTTATACAAATGAAAACCACTTGCATATCACAGTTACAGTAGACAGTTTTCAATTTTTCACATAAAATACATAAATACTGCAGAACTGTATAAACCAGAATAGTACCCATTCTCAAAACAGTTACTCTGCTAACATTTTAAAAAGAATTTTCAACCTGTAAAGTTAAATTTAAAGAGAAGATATTGGAATGTAAACCTTTCAGAAATGAAAGCAACAATGAGTACACATTGATCATATCTTAGTAAGGTATCCAAAAACATTAAGAAGAAATTTTCACATAAATTGATTTCCTAAAGAAAATTTTATCTTTCAATACATGCATGAAAAACACTCAACCATGAACTGTATCTTTAAATTAAACTCTTTGGGGTCAAACAAATACACAAATATTCCATAAGATTCTTGAGTCATCATGCAAATAATAAAATAATCAGAACACCATTTTGGAAGAAGAACCCAGAAGAAAAATTAAAAAATCAATTCTTCATTTAAGAAAACAAATTTGGGCTGGGCGTGTAGCTCAGTGGTAGGGTGCTTACTTACTTAGCATGCACAAGGCTTTGAGTTCTGTCCCCAGTACTCAAAAAAAAAAAAAAAAAAAAGAATGTTAACATAAGATTTTAGGGGACTTAAATATATTACATAAATATTCTTGTTTAAGCTTAGTCAAAGAATTGGGCAGTTTAAAAACATAAAGTAACTCATATGTAGAATTTCACCTTTTTTTTCTTTCATTGTAATAAACCTGAATAGAAAAATCACACAGGTCAATATTTAGCTGGATTATAACAATGACAAGAATGAATGCCAAAGCTTTGTACAAAACAGCAGTTTCATGATAATATGAATGCTTCAAAACTAAACAAGTCTAATGTCAATGAAAACATCTAAAGCAAAAAGGTCATGTGCCAGTGTTTCATTTCTTCATTCTTGTAACAAGTACAAAGATATTCTACAGTAAGACATGATATTCAGGTCAAATAACACAATTTCCCTTTGAAATTTTTTTCTTTCTTCCAAATATTACATGAATAAAAAATAAACAAATCAATATATGCTCCAAAAGATCAAGGCCAACAAATGATAGTACAAGAGGGAAAAGTGGTATTCTGCTTTACAAAATTTCCTCTGATATATGGATGACACATACATATACAAACTAGTTCTATGCCCTGGTTAGTACTTGACTGTACAGGTACCCAATAAGTTATATCATCTTCTTAGCAGCCTTGTCTTTGATAAATAAGCTTTGCTAATTATCCATATAATGTGGACCCCAGAAGATCAAAGAGATTAGGTAGGGGAAATAAAATGTCCAGAGAACATTTGCACCTCAATTGGAGTCAATGCACATGGGGCCAATGTGCCTCACCAAAAGAGGGTAATAAACACTATCAACTCTATACATTGTTTGTCCATAGCCTACTCTTGACATAGTTGAAGGCAGCGCAAATATCAGGCTATCATTAATCTGGGCAAGATAGCTAGATGGAATGGAGCACCTGATTGGTAGCATATGAATGACTTGCCCATCTTTTGGTATATTTTTTATTGCAAACAAAAAAAATGACCAAAGTCAAAGACACAGAGACTGGGGTCAATGGTCTCCTAATGCCATATTATAAAGTAAGCCCCAACTATCTCTGACTGCACTGAGGCTGATGCTGATTTTAGTTTGACTGAATAACCACTGGTACTTGTCCAAGGATTTTCAAATGGCCTCAACTTTCATAATCCATGCATTCTAACACTACTTTACATTTCCATCCTCACTCTATTAAAGTCCAGCCATGATCTATCCAAATGTGGGGTGTTGTCATCAACCTCTGACCAGGTATGAACTTTAAAAAAGAGTGAAAGTACACACAGAACCACAGAGGTACAAAGAACCTTCAGACCAGCTAGTGTAGCTGACATCAAATACAGTGATTTGAACAAGATCCACCACCTATAGTGGCAGATTTGGGTCAAAAACACAATCATTTTGATTGAAGGTCAGAGCTCTTTTCACAAATTCTTATCCTTTAATGATGCCTCTACTAGTAATCTAGACCATATTTTCCTACTAGAAACAATTAATTTTCAAGATGTTGCAAGAGAGATCCACACATTTATTTTCACCCGATCACTATCTTCTTTCCCTGAGAATCAGCTCACAAACACGGAACAGAAACAGATATGAGCATATCTTTTAATAATAGCATGTGTGTTTCTTTCCTATTTTTATCCCCAAAATTTCATGGACATATTTGGG